AGGGTGCGTTAGGGCCGAGCGATGCGCCGGCAACCCCTTTGCATGGTGCTATCACGTATGCAGATGCTCAGATGCAGCCCTGGAAAAACTCAGCCAACGTCGAACGCACCTTTCTTATCTACTGCCCTGGGGCTACAGCACCACAACTCCCAGGAAGCCCCGATCCCTCACACGCGTGCCCTGGCACATGTCCCCACTTACTATTGCATGCCTTTCTATTGCACAGTCTTCCTTCCTCCAGGACTCCCTCGCAGACAAGGCTTTCGTCAGGAAGGGGCTTGCAGGTCCGCGTGCGCGTTTGGAGACCTCCCCCGCAGTCCTTGGTGCAGTCTCCCCACGAGGACCACGCGTTCCAACCACCTGAGCAAAACCGGAAAAGCCCCGTCAGCTTCGACAAGCCCGGGCGGCGGGGAAGGACCAGGGCCAGAGCAGATGGTGCATGCAGAGGCCCCGATGCCCACTGGGTAGCCTCCCACTGCAAAACCTGAGGCTAAAGGGGCCTTTTATACGAGCAGGGATAGACCGGGGGTTGTAGCACAGGGGTGGGATGGCAACTCCCTTGCTTTTGTTAACGTGAGGAGTGCACCCCCAGTACTACCAGCAGTCCCAGTGGAGTCCTTACCCCACTTCTGGCCACCCATTTGTTTTATCCTTTTCTCAGGCTCTGAATGCGTGACATTATAGCGACATAAAAGTGAGCAGACGCACAACTTACAGACCTACACCGATGTAACTCATCGCAATGCAGAGTAGAAATCTCAGGCTCTGAACACACAACAGCAACATAAGAGTGAGCAGATGCACAACATACAGACCTAAACTGATGTAACGCACTGCAATTCAGGGAAGATATCTCAAGCTCTGGACACGCAACGTATTAGAGCAACATAAAAGTGAGCAGACACACAATTTACAGACCTACACCGGTGCAATTCACTGCAATTCAGGGTAGAAATCTCAGGCTCTGAACGCACGACCTATTATAGCGACACAAAAGTGAGCACATGCACGATTTACAGACTGTACCCAATGCAACTCACTGCAATCCAGAGTAGAAATACCCCTGAGAGAAGCAAGGGAAAACCATCTATTGTGGTATAGGTGTCGTGTGCCCACAGCTCATCCCAGGATAACTTTGCTTGCTCTGCTTGTACCAACTGGTGAGATGCTATAAGAGCAGCTGTTGCCCAAGAGAGGCGATTACCTGTCTGCTCTGGAACAGCATGATTCAGATGAGTGTAAAACACCTGCATCTATTACACTAGTGTAAACTCACTGTGCCCCCAGACCCTGGTACGGAAAATCTCCGCTGCAGCAATCCTTCCTGTTGCATCAAAATGGGCGCGTTATCAAATGCCGGAGAAACAGCACAAGTGTACGCTGCTTCAAAAGCACCATCTCTCTTCATACACATGTGCACACATGCATGCACACACAAGCAACTGGAACAGTTACAAGAGGGACCCCTTGTCATCCATCCCCACCACCCACCCCCCTCCAATATGCTGAGCTGCCATTTCCTCTGCAATATATTAGCCACCTACCCATCTGTTCACAGACAAACACTTCTGTCCCCAAAATCAGCCCTGGGACCCCACGAGCACCTCACAATGCTGACTTACCCTCTGCCATAAGAACTGGGTCGTCCTCATCCTTGTCTTTTCTCCAACAGGTTCAAGCAGCAGATGCTGTAGGGACCGTCTAAGGATGGGGTAGTGTGACCCACCCACTGTCAAACCCTCCCAGAATAGGACTGTTGTGTTTCACAGCCCTTTGTGGACTTGTCAGTTGTGCCCTGTCCCTTCGCGACCTGCTACAACCTGCTGTACCCCCAGTTCAACAGACAGCACTGGATGGCATGCCAGACTGCCCTGGTTTCAGGGGAGGGAGCCCATTGCCTCTCCGGGAATGCACTCAGTGCAAAGCACTCTGGTTGCGTGCTGAAGACAAGCTACCCAGACCAATACTGGTATCCTACAAACTTGTCCTTAAAATCATAGAAAATCAGGGTCTGAAGGGACCTCCGGAGGTCACATCTAGTGCAACCCCCTGCCCCAAGCAGGACCAGCCCCAACTACATCATCCCAGCCAAGGCTTTGTCTACCCAGGTCTTAAACACCCCCAAGGATGAAGTTTGCACCACCTCTCTGGGTAGCCCGTTTCAGTGCTTTACTACCCTCCTAATGAGAGAGTTTTGTCTTAATATCCAACTTCCCTTGCTGCAACTCAACTTCCCTTGCTGCAGCTTGAGTCCATTGCTCCTTGTCCTGTCATCTGCCCCCACTGAGACCAGTCCAGCTCCATCCTCTTTGCAACCCCCCTGCAGCGACTTGAAGGCTGCTATTAAAATAGCCTTTGGA